AAGGAATTTTTCAGAAAAGTTTGAATTAGAAGTGTAATTTTAACTCATTAACCAAATCTACTAGCATGGTTGGGAAGAGTGCATTAAACTATATTTGAAACATGCAAAACCTAATACGAAGCATGACTTCTAGAAAAAGTAAATAGAATATACATAACATTGACAAATGGCAACAACTAAGTGGAAACAAAGATAAAGAAAATACTTTGCCGCTTGCTCAGCAAAAGCAGCAGAGATGAATTTTGCTCAGCTGCCCAGAAGAATACATCCCCACTATCAACAAAAAAGTACGAAACTTCTCTTTTGTTTGTGTATATTACTCGAGTGGTGTTACGTTGATAGCAGCCATTTTCACTTAGCTGTTGCAATTAGTCAATATCGTGTGTATTCTATTCATAGTTGGAAGCGATCTGATTATCCAATTCCGGTCTAGCCGGATCGGACAGGACCGGACTTTTGCCAGTTCGTCATTATGAAATTGTTGTTTGCACCCAAGAGTCTTCTCTACTGGAAACGGTGTTTTTATGAAACTTTCAAGTCATGTATAAGTAACGGGGGGGGGGGGGGGGGAGCTATAATTATATGATACCCTGTGTAAAAAGAAAACATTAATTTTGTATTCATAACTACTATCGGCGCCAGAATTCAAGGCAGTCGGTTGCTTTTTGAATAACTCTTGATAGGAACAAGATAGAGACCTGCGGTTGTCACCGTTTGATAGCCAAGACCCAAGAGCATATTTTTATAAGCAAAAACTTTTCTGAGAAATAGTCCGAAGTTTGGTTTTTCAGAGGATCTTTGAAAAACCATGCTGGCGTTTTGAAAATTGTCATAGAAGTCTATTGATTTTTTTACATATTCGGAATCAGCATGAAAAACTGTGTCGACTCATATATTTTTCTAGTCTGTTAACGAATTTTTTTTTCGTCGAAAATTTACCTCTAGTCATCCTCAGGACCACATCAATAAATGAATTCAGTGAAAAGATGACGAAGGACGAATTTTTCGGCGAAAAAAAAACTTTGTTAAAAGACTAGAAAAATATATGAGTCGACGCAGTTTTTCATGCTGATTCCGAATATATAAAAAAATCAATAGACTTCTATGACAATTTTCAAAACGCCAGCGTGGTTTTTCAAAGATCCTCTGGAAAACCAAACTTTGGACTTTTTCTCAGAAAAATTTTTGCGTATAAAAATATGCTCTTGGGTCTTGGCTATTAAATGTTGAAAACCGCAGGTCTCTATCTTGTTCCTACCAAGAGTTATTCAAAAAGCAACCGACTGCCTTGAATTCTGGCGCCGATAGTAGTAACTCACCATTTCTATCTTATCGATATGAACCTCAAACTATAATAAATAAAATACTCCTTTTCTATTTGTTATTTGTAAGTTATCATTTGTATCATAATGATATGAATCTTAACATTAAAAAAAAAACGTTAATGTCATGTTTATTGCATGTAATTTACCATTGCTATCATGTCGATCAGAACCTACAAATGAAAAATAAATGAGATAGACATTTTCTATTCGTTATAAGTAACTCACCGTTTCCATTCAGAGATTTCATAATATCTAAAGGCTGAATATCGAGAAGATACGAGTCGCAATATCCATCACAGTGGATTCCCAACATGGATACTCTATCTTTGAAAAATGAGGATTTTGAGTGACTTTGGTGTGACCGGATGGATACCCAATATGTACAGCGATAATCACCCACTTAAAGATCTGAAAGGAACTATAGTTAATAATGTATTCTGTGACTCTAGCTGTTTCTGAATGTTTTGCTGTGAGGTTACTCTAGGACTGATATTTAGCCTCTCAACAAGCATATACAACATCAGCTGCGCCTACCTGGCAGAAGCTATTTGTGTAACCAGCACTACGATACTTTCGCGAATCTGCAGAGTACTTACGAACTTTAGTTTGAGTTCATTGTCTTGTTTTTTGTGGAATAAGGAAACTTGAGTTGAGAGATTATTTTCATAAAAGTCAGACACTTCATTCACACTTCTGTTACTTCAAAAAGCAAATAACATTGGATAGTTCCATGCAGCAGTGTATATGGGATTTTTCCACCACTGCGAAAACGCTCAGTGAGACTCTTCGACTGATTAGAGAATTCAAAAGCCGACTCAGCCATAGTCTCCTTAACATATCCCAGTTGCCATTGACGACTGACATACTTAATAACAAAACAGACATGTATAACATGTTCTTATCAATCACCGATCAATGCACGTAAACCAAATTATATTGTGAACATCGCTTTTTAGTTCTGAATACTTCAATTTTGTTTTCTAACAAAGTACGTCAAATGAACATTATATTCAGGAATTCTCAAGCAAGTGTTTTCAAAAAAGAAAATAGATACAGAAAATTATATAAATGTCAATTAATCATTCATTAGCTCTTAGCCAATTTGTTCTCTTATCTTTCGCTGCATTATTGACTGCTTCTTCCTTAATAACAAGTAGTGTTTTTGATTAGATATCAATACGATGTGACGACCGAATAGAGGAATAGCTTGACCATTGTTTGCACTCTCTTCATGACATTTTTCTATGCTTCCAAGAGTATGAAAACACTAACAATAGTGGTAATATATGAAGAATATTTGTTTCATTGATAATTCTTGTCAGTATCGAATATAATCAAAGGATACTTTCAAGTAATTGAGGTATACTAAGCCATCGTACAATAGCTTCTTGTTTTAATGCTTTTACCTCTTTCTTGTGAAGTTTGATTTAAACTGATCTAGACCAAGAAGATAATACCAAAATAACATCATGTGATAAGATAATTGATGTCGAAAATTTACACGTTTAACCTCAAAACACAATTATTTGCATTATGTGATTGAATATGGCACGTGGTTAGCATGAGTCGGCGATCATGCTCAAGAACATTCATATGATCAGTTTGAGTGTGGATGAAGACAAATTTCAAAGTGCTAACCCAACATATTTAGCATTAAAACAGAATGTCATCGGTAGTACCGCTCTTGTATGAATCGCGATCATTGTAATCTATAGTCTGTTTAAAAAGTCCGTGCGTGTGACTGTTTTTTGAATAATTCGAGAAAGCAAACAGCTAGAGATCTGTGGTTTTCACCAATCGAAAAAGGAGAAGTTAGGGCGTCTTTTTCTCTGATAATGTGTCAGAAGAAATTCTCTTAAAACTGATCATCCTTGAAAAATATAGAAAAGAATGCATGAAACTGACATACAATACACATGAAGTTTCGATTATGACCTTTGATTTACATAGAGGGACTTCAGATCTATAGTTCAAAACATAATACACTTTCTTACGTTTCATTACATTTTCATCGAAGTATCCAACTGTTTTGACAAAAAATCCAAAAACGTAGTAAAATATCAGCAAAATTTCCTATTATTTGCGCATATAAATAGATGATTTCATTTGGTCAACATTAGAATGCAATTAGAGAGCCATTTGCGTTGCATCTTGCACTATAGATCTGAAGTCTCTCTATCTAAATCAAAGGTCATAATCGAAACTTCATGTGTATTGTATGTCAATTTCATGCATTCTTTTCTATATTTTTCAACGATGATCAGTTTTAAAAGAATTTCTTCTGACACATTATCAGAGAAAAAGACGTTCTAACTCATCCTTTTTCGATTGGTGAAAACCACAGATCTCTAGCTGTTTGCTTTCTCGAGTTATTTCAAAAAACAGTCACATGCACGAAATTTTTGGACGGACTATAGTTTTACATCTAATAAATCAGGTTCAACAACATGCTTGTGATTGGCAATAATCGACAAAAATTCATTTTCCGTATTCGTGTACACAGACACGGCGCATCCACACTTATTGCATATCCAACATTTCTTTAATGATGTTGTTTTATTGCATTTGAACACATATTAGAGTATTAAGAATGGCAATAGAGTATTTCTGAAGAAACAAAGATTTTTTAACTTATGTTTTCTATGATGAAATGTAATAAAGCATAAGAATTCAGTGCGCTTATATAATGAATAGAATTTTAATTAGTGAATATAGAAACACTATCTAATCTATTTTCTTTCTAGCGATATACGATCTTTTTAACATAATATTTGTCAAGAATTGTGCTTCTTCAACGAACAATCATGATTTTGATAAGAACTGTAGAAAAATTTTCATCATTTTATTTAAGGATGATACAAATTTTTATGTATTCTATAAGTTGAAGAATACGTCACTATGAACTCTTGTGACAAACCTATCACTAACAGAAATCTCAAACATTATCAGATAAAAGAAAAAACCTAACTTTAAAAAAAAAGCATTTTCTATTTCAAATGTTATTGATGAGAACAAAAAAAAACTTAATTATTCTATATATTTATCTATTAATAGGTCTAATTTCGCATTTATGTAATTTCGAATGTTTTTTATGGACTTCGACTTCTAGAACACACTTGCATATTTTATCTTATCATTGTAATAACGTAAAAGATGAGGTGTGATGTTAGTTTTTTAAACTCTTTGTCATTATTTTCTCTATATCTTAAAAGACAAAAAGAAAAAATACTTTGTCAATACAGAACAATTTTATGGAAAAAAAAAACACCTACAACATTTGCAATAAACAAACGAACGAATATACTCTAAAGATAAAGTGTTGACAAATTTAAAAACTGTCGTATAGAGAACCATTCTATGCGAAAATGTGAGCAGCTAGAAGTAGGTCAATCTCAAGTATTTAAAACGTAGTTTGTTCAGAGGATGAAACATTTTCATAGATCGTTACTTTTTTTTTATTATAAACATCAATGAGAATAACCATCGTTATATAAATAGAATTAGTTTGAAAAAAAACAATGAAACTCAATTACTTCATACGAAAAAATATGTTTTTTGTTGATTCTATATTTAAGGATTGATTTCTTTTGAAGATATTCCATTCAATATTATCGATTTTACAGTGCGATTCAATATTTGATTCTTAAACTTGCCACTTCTTTTTGTCAGTTGAAAATGAGCAGAGAACTATCTTCTACTTCAATTGAACGTATCTTTTCTCGTACATCATCATCATCTAGTATTAATGATCCAACAGAAGGAGATACCGATGGTTATTTAATACCTAGTGCTGTCAAGTCATCAAAAACAGTAAAAATCTGTACATTATGTGGTCGATATAAAGGTATTCGAATGCGTCGTCATGTATTTATTACAGTATGTATTACAATCGTCTTACTTATTCTTCTTCTTGGTATATTAGTTGTACTTTATGCAATCATTCCAGCAATAATTCGTTCAATTATTGCTAAAGCTCAACTAGATTTTCGTTCAGTTAATATTGAACAAATTGAAAATGATCGTTTTCATCTTCGAGCTCAATTAGAATTATCACATACTGGATCTCTTCCAGCTACTATACTTCCACCACTTATTATTAATGTGGATAATATTGGAATAGTAGTTCATAATGAATCCATTTCTATAACTGGTGATACTACTAGTCCGACTGTAATTCCGATTAATTCTCCATTTATGGTATCTGATATGAAAGCTTTTCGTAATTTCTCTCGTTCTCTTATCTTTGAACCTAATGTTATATGGCATTTAAAAGCTGAAGCCACTATACGACCTATCTCACGTCACATGCTTTCTTATTCGAAGATTCCATTTAATAAAGAAGTTACGTTAGGTGCTTTAAATCGTCTTCCTAATGTAAGTATTGATTCAATAAGTTTAAGACGATCAGATGCATATCGAGTACTTATTGATCTTATTATCAAAATTACTAATCCATCTATATTCACTATTGATCTTGGTAAGTAATTTGAAAAATATTATTGCAAATGATTTATTATATTATTATTCTATAACTAGGTCAATTGTATTTTTCTTTACAATATAACAATTGGTCCATTGGTTATGTTGAATCAACTAGTGATAATATTACAATTCATTCAGGTGAAAATGCTATACAGTTTTTCGGTGAATTACAATCTGTATCGTCGGAATCTTATAATGCTCTTTCTACTGTCATTCAAAATTTTCTTACTGGTCAAATAAGTAAAATTGAAGCATTAGCTGGTCCAAATGCTACATCATATCCTCTACTTGCAGCAGGTATAATAGGTCTTTCTTTAAATATTCATATGCCTCCATTTAATGAACAGCTTATTGCTTCATTAATATTTAATTCTATGTCTCTTATTCCATCGACAAATACGAGAAACGTAATGCTTTCAGCTTCAATTACTATTAAAATAAATTCACCCCTTGGTCAACAATCTCCACTTAATATCCAAATGATGAATATGAGTGTTTTTCTTCTCTATGAAAATGATTCTGTTGGAATGCTTAATGTTTATCAAGCTCCAGTTAAACAACTAGATGCAATAACATACGAATCGCAGTTTAATAATAAATATTTAAATCTTACTGATACAGGTGCAGCATATGAAAAATTTGCTCGAAATTTTATTAGTGCTAATAAGACACATCCCATTGATTTTCGTATTGTTGGTATGGCTTCTATCGTTGGTTCATTTGCTCTTGGTCCTTTGAATATTGATGGGATTGTTGTTGAAAATAATGTATCTTTAGTAGGTCTCGATGGTCTCAACGATGTTCATGTTGATGCAATTTCTGTTGATGGTGAACAAGGAGCTGCCCTACAACTTTCAATTAATGCAACTATTAATAATCCAGGTGTAACTGAAGTTCAACTACAAAATTTTTCACTTTACATGGCGGAAGGAGAAAATGATACAATTCTTGGTCATATACCAATCGATGTTCTTGCTATTCTACCAGGAAGCAATTTAGTTACACTCAATGGGTTAGCTTAGGTTTTATTTTTTTATTATTGTTATTCTTATTATTATAATTATTTTAGGCTTCTTGCTCCATCACGTGAAACAGATCTTCCAGTAATTGGTAAATTCTTTTCCGCATATCTTAATGGTCAAACACAACTAGTGACACTTTTTCACAATCAATCTTCTATAAAAAATGCAACTGCTATGGATCTAACAATAAGTGATCTATCAATGAAAGCTGATCTTGATGGAATCAAAACAAAATTAATTCGTCAAGTCAATGTTCTTAATTTTGGTATTGAATTTGATTCAGTTCATGTTAATAAAGTTTATATAACAGGTCGATTATCAGTTTTATTTGAATTACCATCTACCATTAACATGACATTTAAAGCATTAAAAACTAGTATTAATTTTACTATGCATTGTAATGATGAACCAAATATGGGTCAAATGATTCTTCATGATTTACCTGTTGAACATAATCAAACAACAAATGAATTATTTATGAATTTTAATAAACAAGAACTTATTGTTCTGAATGATTCATTATTTAAAGAATTTGCTGCTAATCTTGTTCTAACAACTAATGTATCGGTTATAATTGAAGGTTTAGCTGCAGCACTTGCCGAAGTTCGAATAGGAAATATTACTCTATCAAATATTCCAATAAATGATACACTTCATCTTGTTGGTTATAATCAATTTGATAATGGACTTCTAAATATTGATAATATAGATATAATTGGAGCTATATCCTCTCATACACTTGCTCTTCACATACGAACACAAATTATTAATCCTTCTGTTGTTAATATTCTTAATGGTGGTCGTCTTTCCCTTGATTTATGTGATATCATAAATGGTACATCACTTGGTTTAATTAATATTGATCCATTCTATCTTCAACCACAAGGTAATATTACTGTACTTGATGCTGAAGGTATTTTTAATGTTACTAAACAAAATACTGCTATAGCGCGAGAATTTATTTCACATATGATTTCCGGTATTGACAATCAAGTAGAATTACGTGGTAGTCTAGAAGATAATTCAACTGGCACTTCTATACCATTACTCTCATTAGCTATTGCTAATCTTCGTATTCATACAAAAGTTCCTGGTCTTTCTCGAGAGAAAACGCTTGTTCCAGAGATTATTCTTAAAAAATTAACTGCTGCTGAAATATTTGAGATTCCACTTGGTCTTGTTAAAACATTATTAACACGTATTCGAATTGTAAATCCTTTTAGTACACCTTTAGTTATTCCAAATATAAACATAAGAGCTGATTTCGGTCCTATAGTTGATGAAGATCTACAAGTCGGTATTGTTAATGATAATAGATCTCTTACTATTGATCCTCATCAAGAATTGATAACTCATTATTTAACTGTTAAACTTACAGGTAAATTAAGTACCATGGTTGCTCTATTAGGCCCTCTATTGGCTGGTAGTGCTCGTCTTTCGTTATCGGGCGTTATCGGTGTTAGTGTTGGAGGTGATTTTGTTTTAACTGAACTACCGCTTACTGTACTAAATGTAACTACAGATCAAGAACATTCATGGTAAACAAACAATGTTCTGTTGTTCAATGATAATCTATTGATTTATTTTTTGCATTACGATCTTGCATAACAAATGAAATCATTTGATAATTTTGCTTGTTTATTTTTGTATTTGATTATAAAACTATTTTTTTAATAAATTGTTCACCGAAAAAGTTTCTTTTCTTTTTTAAAATTCCTACAACTATTATATATAATATTAAAAATCTATTTTTTTAAATGAAATGTTAATAGAATCGATTTGGCTTTTATCAATAGCAATACATGATAAATTTAGAAATAATTTTAATAGCAGAATTCAATGTTCCACAACTTTCATATGTGCAATATTTCATAAAGTTCTATTCTATCATTTATAAAAAGTAACACTATTTTCATATGACAAAGTTAGTTGAAATAACATCATAGGAACATCAATAATACTCATATAAATGGTTTAAGAAAATCCGTATCAAACATTTCAATTGATGAATATGTATTAGATGTTAACAAACAAAATATGTTTATCTATGAGCTAATCTATGATTTTATTTATTTAAAATAACTACAACTATCTAATTTTTTTCATCAATTAATATTCAGTATGATGAATATAGGAATCATACCACATCTTTATTTATATCTGCAAATCAACTTGTATTTTTAGCAAACGATACAACATAAAAATGTGCTGTTTTTGCTTATCAACTTCGTTGTTGATGATCTGGGTGTGAGTGAGTTTGGGTCTGTAGTTGTGGTTGTGGTCTGGTATGGAACTTCGTGATAATTAAACGACTAACGATGGCCCACACCTACATTAGCAATCACACCCACACCCGCTTCGAAAATCGTGAAAATCCTTCCTCCAATTTTCAAAATCGCTTCGGTTCTCTCAGAGGGTCCTTTTAGTTACAAAAACTTATCAGCGTAGCCGCTGTGGAGCCAAAGTGTAGTACTCATGAGATTCAGACTGATACAAATTTATATTATATTCTCAAAAATGGATGGAAAAGTTTATTTTCAATAGATATCGAATAAACGGATAGGTTACAAGTAATTCTATTGTTTGAGTTAAAGCATACGCTGTAAAACTTTATCCCAACGAAACTATTTCATTTCGAATTACTACCTCTCCCTTCGCTCCACTTATTAGATTTCTTGAATATATTTATAATATTAATAGTACCAACGGAGAATGTTAAATTTCTAAAGAAGCCCTGATCATAGTGATTAATTTATATCAGTTTCTATTCGTACATTTCAAACATTTTTTTCTTAATACGTGCTTTTTTTCTTGTCGCTCTTCGCTGTGTTATTCTTCTGTTAATTGAGATTATAATTATTTCGTATTATTCGATTCAAGCTTTAATTTAATAGTTAAATAAGCTTAGTATAGACATTGGTTGTATCTTCGCCAGATCCTAACAAACTTGTATGCATATTAATGTACAGAGCAAGACACAAAATAAATATTTCTAAAAGTTAGAAAGTAGTTTGATCACGCTTTTATGTAACTTATACTGCAGTTATGAAAAATCACAAAAGACTATCTTTCTCATGGATCGTACAAACTTTTATCTGCGCAAAAAGAGGAGGCTAGCTAATTGCTAATGCTCATAATAATATTCGAACTATTGATAATCAAAATATTCTAGAATTTTCCACAACCTTTTAAATCTAAGTGATTGCTACGGCATCTAATGGGGAAAAGAGAACAAGCTGAAAAACCTTGACCCAAACTTACGGTTGCTATTAGTTTCTTCGTAAATATATGTGAGCTATACAAAGCTTAAAAGCATAATATTTAGAACAGAAACCAGAAATTATAGAATTTTCAAATAATACAGCCGCTGATATTAATTACTCCCTACTGTTTGTTGCTGTGGAAAGATGTAGTGATGTTTTTCCTAGCATCTGGTTACTATGATAGAAGCTGAGAAGCCGTAGAGCCTGAACTTAAACTTGCATTTACTGGATTCTTCGAAAACACTCGTAAGTTTCGCAAACAAACGAGAACCATAATGCAAGACCCCTCTAAAAAAATTTTCCGCTAAACATAATAGAAGATCCCGGGGTCTTTTATTGTGGGGGGGGGGGGGGAGGGTTAGTTGTTTTCATAGATAATCGATGACAAGAGCGAGACTTTATTATTTATTTCTACATT